ATACTGAATACATAAGAATACTTCAAATTCTGAAGTTAAGCCACATCTTTGATCAAAAATGATGAGGTTGCTGTCACAAAAAGTGCCCATTTCAGGCTTTAGTATAGCATAAGTGTGAAATGATGTGTACATTTTACATTTGCAATAATTGAATTAGAGTGAGGGACATCTGACTAATAGGAAAATGTTGATTTCATTACAAATATATTTTATAATTATATTCAGAGAGCTTCCATATTGTCCATAACGGGGTTGAAGACTAATAGCGCTCATATCTTAAAATAATTACCAATAATAAAAAGTATTTAATGCCTGAGGTGGGAAAATATGTTTTTCTGGAAGTTAAATATGTCATTAATGTTGTGGGGTGTTCAGAAAAGTAATACATGTTGGTAAAAAATCCAAAAATGTGTAAGTCCAAATCGTACCGGTTTCGTGGAATGACTCCTAGATCCTCCAATTTTGCACTCAGGTCAAAATCTCACGGCCCTCTATCATAATACAGAGTTTTGAGAATATTGGAGAAACCTAATTTTTTGCCAGAAAACGAAAAAAACGAAAGGGGTAACACTGTCTTTTTTTTTTTTTTTCGTGTCAAATTTTTGAGTTTCGATATCTCAGCTCTGGAAGGGTCTAGAGCCTCCATTTTTTCACTCAGGTTAAAGTCTCATGGCCCTCTATCAGAATCCAGAGCTTTGAGAAGATTGGAGAAACTTAATTTTTCGCCCAAAAAAAAAAAAACGAAAGGGGTACCACTGTCGTTTTTTTTTTTTTTCGGGTCGAATTTTTAAGTTTCGATATCTCAGCTCTGGAAGGGTCTAGAGCCCAGGGGCGTCGCAACCATGGGGGATGTGGGTGTTTTAACACCCACACTTTTCCCGGTGAGAGTGTTCAACACCCGCACTTTTTCTGCCGTTTTTCCGCAGTTTTACACAAACGCCTTTCTACAGTCGCTCCTCCGTTTTTCTGGCGCTCAGTGTGTGTGTGTGTGTGCGCTCGCTGCGGCTGTCTCCTCTCAAACATGACACCGGCTTTGAGTGTGTCCGGCTGATGATTGGCTGTTCTGCCTTAAGTCCCGCCTCTCTTGATGTGTTAGATGTATCGGTCAGCTCGTGCTGAGGAGGCGGGAACTTATGGTTGTTTACATCTCCCTTTTCCAGGTACTTTGAATGAGTGTTTATGCTTTCGAGTTTTTTAAATAAGCTTTGATATGTGTTTGGGAAGATGTTATGTTTTATTGACATGTCCAGTGTTTTCATTATTATATTTCGTATTTTTGGATAAACAGTACAAGACTTGCGTTAGGCATTCTGTTTGTAATGCTGCGTGATTTGAAAAAAAAAAAAAAAAAACGCGCTCTTTGCTCACACGATCAGCATGGTGTTCTGTGTTTTCTCCTAAATAAAAGCTCAAGGGTTTATTTCTTACAAGTGAAGAAATTAGGACAAAAGTATTGTAATTTTGATAGCATAATATAGAATACAATGACAAACTCTATATCTTAACTATAAAGATGTTTGAGCCTTCTTAAGCAACAAGTCCATGCTTTTTCGTTGTTCATTGTGCACAGGCCTGGGTCGAATCCAGTTGAAGCTCTTAATTTTGAGCTCTCAATGTGCTCCAGATTGATGCATTTAACCTTAAAATGTACCAAATTTTCTTGCGGGGGAGCATGCCCCCGAACCCCCCTAGAGGGACAGGGGTCTACGTAACATGCCCAAATTTAAATGACACATCCATCCCCCACACTTTTCAAAAGCTTGCTACGCCTCTGAAGGCAGCAAAGTGAAAGGTGAAACCTTTCTTTTACAAAACCTCAATTTTCAAATTTGGTCTATGAACTTTTGTTTTAGTCATTTTATTTTAATTGCAGAAGTAGTGTGTGTGCAGTGCACACACACTACTTCTCAGTTTATAAACAAAATGCACTAGGGAGGAAAATTTGTAAGAGCAGGAAAGAGGCTAAATGTATTTTACATAAATAATTTGAAATCTAGATAAATTAATAAAAAGTAGCTGCAGAGAAATTACATGTAAACGTTAACCATAACCTAATAATTATGTGAGTGTTTTCCAAGCTTTCTAAAAAGTGATTGATTTCACAAGGTCACCTTCAGTAATTCATCTCATATGTAAAGCTAGTTAACTTTTGCAAACGCAAAAGGTGTAATGTAGTTTAAATGATTATACCTTACATTTTATATTAGTCTGAAATTTACAAAGTTTACAATTATCTAATATATTTTATTCAGCTTGGTTGCGTGTTCCCCAAACCAATCATGTGAGATTTAATGTCTTGCCTGTTTAGCTGCAAGGGAAATAATTCTTTTTTTTTATTATTAATCCAAGAATCTCCCATGAGCCTGCAAGGTACCCCCGATACCTCCCGGAGGCTTATTGTTTGTGTAAGGGATGCCTGACCGGGCCAAACGGGGAGGAAAGTGACCGCTTCCGAAGCACCCCAGTGTACATGCCCACCGTCATCCTGCGCCGTACTGGCTCGTGTGTCGGGGGTCGTCATTCCTACACGGAGAGCTACGTGTCCATCGCCGTGGGATGTACTTGTGTGCCATTGTTGGAAAGAGACAGAAAAACACAGAAGAGCAACCCAAGTGTGAAAAGAGTAGCATCTAAAAATGCAGTTTCCAGCACCTTTAGAAAGAATCAAATGAACTGATCACTTGTTAGATATTTTTTATTCTCTATATGTAAACCTTTTTTTTCTCTCACCAAAATAAAGACAGAACTTGGCACTGCAGATAAGCAGCTGTGAGGGCGAGAAAAAGGAAAACTTTCAGTGCCAAAATACAAACATTTGCTAATCCAACGTACTCTGGAAAAGCCAGTCAGCCTTATGGTGTTAAGTGACTAATACAGTCAAGCTGTGTGCCAGTATAAAGAAGAAACGCTTCTTTTAAAGGCAAGAATGAGTCTCATATTCAATGGATATCATTTCAAGAATTATTCAGCTTGACTTTGTGTCAGTCTTCATATGCTTACTTTAATAAAAAACAAACAGGTAACAAGTCTAATAGTGTATAATATATTACATACTAATGCATTTCAAACATTCACTTCTATGCCCATTTTATGCTTAGAAACAAAGTTAAACTGTCTGAAATGGTTTGCTTCAATTCTATGACTGCAACTTTAAAAGATGCATGCAATGGACAATGCAAGCCAGCCAAAGCATAATCAAAGACTGATTGTGAATCTCTGATCAAGGGCCAAGTTCTCAGCTGTAATATCTGGATCCTGCAATTTTCCACTTAGAGTGAGAATATTTATTGTTCTGAATAATCCTCTGCTGATGGTTGATGGGGAAAAACAAAGTTCAAATGTTGTCAGATTATAAGCCTTTTTCATGAGAGAAGGCTTGATTCATAGTTAACATAGCAGCGGAACTCATTAGCCAGATTGTGATTGTGTTTTGGTAAAAAACTGCAGATTTTCAGATCCATAAGTTTGCCAGCATGCTCCTCCATAATAGCTCCTGCAAGAATAAGGCAAAGATTAGAATACAGATCATGAGTGATAAATATAACAAATATATACAGTATATATGTGTTCGTGTACAGAGATCTATTCACTTCCACGTGCCTGTGCAGAGCAGGATTTTGCCCTTAGTGAGGTATTTAACAGTGAGTGCCACCTTGCTGAGACACTCCTCTGACAGGTATGGAGGGTCTGCGATGACAATGTCAAAGCTCTGAGGAAGGAGATCCTCAGAGAGGCACAGAGGGTTGTTGTAATCATAAAAGAAAAACTCATCTCCGTATGCTGCGAAACGTCGATCAAACTCCAGCAAGACAGCAGACACACTATCCGACCTCATGGATTCCAAACGTTTCAGCTTTTGATACACACTTGGTGCACTTATACAAGCTATCCTACAAAACAGGAATAGAACATTTGTCTGAGAGGGGACACATAAAAGGTCAGTAATACACAGTAAATACACTTATATTGTTGCATGATTTCTATTTCAAATAAATGCTGTTCTTTTGAACTATCTATTCATCAAAGAATCCTGAAAGAAACACTTTACTTCTCATCTATTCATTAATGCTTTGTTTTTGGAGATATAAAGTACTTTTGTTTCCATATACCACACAATTCCTCAACTACACCATTAGCTTGCATATGAAATATATATTTTTTGTGATACATTGCATTTATGCTCTAGTAGGCCTTCACTTCTATGTAAAAAAAATCAGATTTATGCCAGATTTGTTTTTTGGTTTTTTTTGACATGAAGAAAATATAATTAGTTATTTCACATTTCCCATTAATTTCAATGTGGGGTCATATTGACCCCGAAGACCAGAAGTGTAAACATTTTTTACATATACCTCCAGTCCAGAACAACCGAATCAAGCCCAGTTTTTTGTGTGTGTGTGTGTGTGTGTGTGTATAGATACATAATATATGAAAAGTCACAAAATCTTATTCCACTGAGATGAAGGGAACCTTTTTTTTTATTAAGTAAAGGTCAATTGGGGTCGTATAGAGGGCCACACGACTTTTGACCTAACTCATTTATCAGACTGATTTGAATAGGATAGTATTGTACCATGTTGATATAAAATACAGTCAGAGAGCGAGAAAATTAATTACATTCTTTGTTTTCAACATGAAATGCATTACATTTTACATTAGTCAGGTTTTCCCAGACTGGGCTTCATAAGTTTAATGGAATCATTAAATAAAAAATAAAACACAATTTTAAAAAATAAAAATAAGCAAAATAAAACATTTATTTAAAAAAAAAAATAGTGACAACTGATCATCTTGTGTGTTGAGTGAAATCATAGATGTGTATGATTTCACTGAACATACAAGATCAGTTAACTTTTAGTCTCCATTTACTGGCGTATCGAGGTAACGTTAACTGGCATTAAATGCAACAGAATCGCAGTCACACTGTCCTTGAGGTTAACATGCAAACCCTATTGCACAAATGTAAAATTTGGACCAAAGGAGCTTGTGACCCACCTTCCATGTTCTCCAGCCTGCTGCAGGACTTCCTCTGCTAACCTTGTGGCCGTGTCTTCACTGTACCAGAACTGACTCATGCGCTAATCACAAACATATGAACTCAGTAAGCACTTGATGTATAACAATCAACGAATTATTACGCAAGTAAAAGCACTTCTACTACATTTACTGTACCCAGTCTTCCTCCACGGCACCGACACAGAACTTGTCTGTCTGGGTCGAGTCCAGTCCGGGTCCAGTCCTTCCACTCTCGGAGTAAAACTCCTGCAACGCTGCAAGTGCCGCCGCGGAGAGCTGAGGCACATCATCTTCACTGTCGCTCATTGCAACAGATCCTTCTTCTAACAAAATGACACGGGAACTAACGTTTGGTAAAGCTGGAGTCTGGGGAAACATTCAGTTCAATGCTAACGTTAATTCAATAACTATGCTAACAGTTTTGCTAACTGTCACAATCACAAACGATATTTAATATAGAAGTAACTTTGGTTTTTACCAGACTTTAAACTTACTTTACTAATGAACGACGCCGTTACAATGCATTTGAAGCAGTTCGTAACACACGGCACGGAAAACAGCATGGAAAACAGCATCACACGTGTTTCCACTACGGTGGCCGAGCAAGTACAATCGCGCTATAGCGAAACATGTACACATGCCCATATTCCCAGAGCAGACTACACAATTCACAGACAACTTTGAAAATGTAAACAAAGCAAGCTGACTCACTTTTTATATCAAGTTTATATACACTTTACAGATCATTTCAGGCATTCCGAAATAACAATTAGTGCTTTGAACAATGGAAATAAGGACCATCAAACACCCTGAATAAAACAGCTGACATCCCTCATCATTTTTGGTATTTTATTGCTACAGCAACATTGACTGTTCCACAATTCTGAGTATGTGTATCTGCTAGTGTAAGTGGAACACTGTTAAAGTTTATTGTCGAAAATCAAAACCTTGATGTGAACATCAGGTGACCATGTGAAAAATGTCTATAATTGTTCAGACATGAGTTTTGTTGAAAAACACTTTCTGTGATACTGCTGTAATCAGGGTGAAATAAAGGCAAAGAGTAAAACTACAATCAATCAAACCAATCAATCAAAAAGAAAACTCCAAACTAGCCCCCTTTTCATTCAGCTGAAGTTGTAATAAAAAAGTCCAAGTTCTGTCAACTATAATCTTATAAAAACTTTTCAGTCCTTTTAAACCCTTTCATTTTTTGTCTTTTTCAAAAATATATACACACCTTAACACAAAAGTGATTTGGTTTTCCAAAAGGGCCTTCCTGCATTCAAAGTTTCATTGGGAAAGGCTTTTTCGTTGTCATGGCAAACACCGCTCACAATCCTAAGTACCGTGAGTGCAGGACCACATGGCTCTATTGTCACTGTAGACACAGCTGGATCTGAGCTGTGAGAAACCAAATACAAAGGCACTCAAGGAGAAGCGTCTGCAGAAGACAGCGTGTGTGTGTGTGTAAAGGGGATGACGGGATCAGTTTTCAGAAAGATTACCCCGCTGCACTTCATAAATGTTCTTATGAGGACCTCTCAGTGGAAAAGTAAACAACGATCAGATCAGACCGAGATGATAATGGCCCACTGGCCGCCCCCTCTCGGCCTTCGCCTGCCTCTCTCCTCTCTCTGGAGGCATGTGTCTGAAGGCCCATAGGCATCTCAGCCTGTGCTGCGCTGAGCATCTCCATGGTTTGGCATGGTGAAAGGCTTCTCTGAGTGGTAGAGGGGGTGGAGAGGGCAAGCTGCTGTGGACAGTTGCAGGAGGAAGTGGTTTATTTGACACACAGAAGCCCCCCCACATTGGCAACAAACTCCTCCAGGCTCTTGAGGAAGGCCACCTTCTGTTTGCGGTCCATGGTTGGAGGCGTGCTGCTGGCAGTGAGGTTGTTGAATGCATCTGCCAGCCGCTGATAGATCACGGCATCTCTCTGATTGGAGAGCAGCGTCTCCACCAGCTCTGAGTACTCCGCCTAAGACAAACACCATCACATCAGTATGTCACAAGATCAAGCGTTTCTTTGTTAAAACCCACTCAAAATATTATAAAATGTACTTCCAGGTCAGATTTATCTTTTGCAGCTGATGTTATTGAGTTAAACAATGCTGTGTACCTGGTGAAGGCACACTAGTGTATAAAGCGCTTCTCCAGCTGCTACTGTCATCTCAGTGTTGTGCTTCTGGAGCACAAGCATGTCAAAAACCAGCTATGGGGGGGAGAGAGAGTGAGCACACATTATTAATTCACATATTTTATACATGTGTATTAACCTCAGACAATTACACATTAGAATGAAGGTTAGTGACCCATTGGATCTTGTTTTTTTTTTTCCACATTCTGAGAAAATATTGAGTAAAATGTGTTCACTTCAGTTAAATGTTCTCTTTTGCTGTTGTTTGAAGCATTCTACAGTTTAAATATTTGGGGTCAGTGAGACAAAATAAAATAAAAGAAATGAATACTTTTATTCAGCAAGAATGCATTAAATAATCAGGTGATAAAGACATCAATAAATGTTACAAAAGATTTCAGTTTCAAATAAAATTTGTTCTTTGGATAAACTTCTATTCTAAAATGTTCACACTTTCTAGAAAAAATATCAAGTACAATGCTAATAACGAATGTTTCTTGAGCAGCAAAATCAGCACAGAATAATTTTGGAAAGATCATGTGACTGAAGACTGGAATAATGATGATAAAAATTCTGTTAAAAATAAATAAATTACATTTTAAAATCTATTAAAGTAGAAAACATAAATAATATTTCACAATTTTATTTTTTTACTGCATGTTTTCAATCAAATAAATTAAGTGCTGGTGAGCAGAGAGACAAAAAAAAAAAATTGTACACTCCAAACTTTAACAATAGTGTGTATCTGCATTAAATTAGCCACAGTTTCTTTTTTAGACATAGCCTGTTATAAACCTGTTGACTCACTTTAAGGAAATGTCGTGTGGCAATAAATAGGGGTGT